AGGATCAGTAAGATCTATAATTAGGTTTTGTTTCATATAGTGCTCCCAAAAAATTTTTTGTGCACCTAATTTTTCAGGTTGGGTGCACCAGTGCACCTATTCCCAAAAATGAATTTCGAGCCCTGCTGTTTAAAGATTGTTCCTTCACACGCCGCAAAGTTCTGGCAATTGACGGAAAAACGGGAAATGGCTAGAGCCCCAAGCTAGTCCTTTAGCAGTACGTAATATATGCTCTTGTGGTTTTCTTCTGTCTCTTGCATCTCATAACTGATATTGGCAGGCTATTTTTGCTATCTGATAATGGTGAGTGTCAAATTGCCTTCCATATTGCTGCTGGCCACCTGCGTGTATCATACGTCACACCGTATTTCCTCCAATTGCGTACATACTTTATGCAAGGTTGTGTGCATACTCGACAAAAATTCAGACTTCATACCTCCATGAAATATGTGGAGTTTATGTAAGTGTTTTTTTAGGGATTTGTCTCATTGATTATGGGAATAAGGTTGTAATAATTACTATAATCTAGTTTAATATGGTTTTCTAAACTGTGGTTTTCCAAACTTAAATTACAATATTTCGCTTGTGAAGTTTCTTTGTCAATATTACAATTCGACATGTCCTCATTAATTATGCAAAAGATCTCTTTGTTAACATAATATATACATAGTGAATTTTTACCTCCTTAAGTAATTTACACATGTCACAATGTATATGAAATTCCCGTTATTCACCATCAAGAAATCACATAATTTTCACATTAATTATGCAAATTAGTGGCATTTGGATTACTTCCACTCAATCAGCAGTAGAATAATTATACATGTATGATATTAGATTTGGCATACTTCAAATAAAGACAAATTTCATATATCTTTCCTCAACTCACAGATCGTGAAGGTACTTTCAGTTTGTGACGCTGAAGTGATGTAAGATCTTGATTAGTTGATGTGTTTTTCCACATGGGTTTATTCATACCTCCAATCTTAACAGAATCAAAACGTACTACATAAGATTACTGTGACTATGTGACATATGCAAGTAAGTATTGAGGAACAGAGATAATATTATCTTGAAAGTGTGCTGTGAGTGACACTGTAGATGTTTTGCGATCTAAAAAAACACCAAAGTCCTTGATAACACCAGATAACTATGACTAACAAGGAGCTCTACACATGTACTGTCTTCTGTACATTCAACAACGTTTTACCATCTCACAGATCTGTATCGTACCTGAAGTGCCTTGTCGTTACTTGACGTGATGCAAGATATCGATAATATTTTAATTTTATTATAGATTTACTACTAGTTGTTACTCCATGAAGGAAGTATATACAGTGTACCACCTGCAGGAGTATTGTGGTCAGTCGGTTTTTCGTGTTCGCAGCTAAAACACAGGGTTCCCCTTGTTTAATCGGCATGTAATTTTATACGTCATCTGCAGGCATGCCTGTGATACGCTCTATGTAGAATTAAAACCGATTATGCTCTACGAAAAAAGGGCATGTGGACTCCCTTCTAAAGCTCAGTGCCTTACTGCGTATGATTACCGTGATAATTTTAAAAGCAACACTTAAAGGAGTTAAAATGTTTTGAACATGTCCTGTGTGTGTGTGACGATTATATTGTGAATATACATGAGCTTACATGTTGTAACCGCTAGTGACTTCTTATACGCATCTATGTTTAGACAACTCAAGGACCTTCTTACAGTTACAGATGTCTTTATTAACCTGCTGTCAGCACATGTAGCCTTGACTTGTTTACTAGTAGAGGGCTCTGAAGTGTTTTTCGAAGAACTTCACTGCTACCGCATGTGTACAGTAACTACATTAAACAATACATTCTGTAGAAGTGCTATATACAGATTACATGCGAATTTCGCGCAGGCGCAGTACGCTTGAGATGTCAACGTGCTGGTTTTACAATGGCCAAACGTAATGGTGCTTTCTCCCCTCTCTCCCTCTCTCTTACTAAGACCATATTTAGCCTTGAGATGTTGTGTGATTAATTTGGTTCTGACGTCAGTACACCAGGTTCCTAAAACGTCTTATTAACCTTTTGTGCCCCAGATCTGGTCCCACATGTCCTTGGGGTTCACAGAGGACATTGTACTCCTGTCACTTTATGATCTAAGCAATGTGCAATACCTAGGCAGGGCTCGAAATTAACATTGTCCCAGTGTCAAATGACACTAAATTTTCAGCTTGGGACAATTCAAATTACATTTCGGGACAATTTTGGGGCAATTGGAAAATTCTAAGACCATCCACGTCATTTGGGAACCATCCATCCATCCTGCGACAGACTGCTGGCAGCCTATAAATATATAATACTCTGACAAACATTTAAATTTGACCAATCAGGGATTCCAAATATCAGGGACGGTGCCATGCCCATGATATCATGTATTTCCGTACATGAAGTGGACTTTAAGTTGTACAAATTCAGTTGTTGTTTTCTTATTTTTGTCATCAACTTATTTCCTGAAAAGCAGGCTGGGACAGTCCATCTTCAGTTCGGGACAATTGAAATCTATGTTCGGGACAATTCTGGGACAATAGTGAAAAAAGTTAATTTCGAGGCCTGCCTAGGAAAGCCGCCAGGGGTCCAAAATCTAATCATTTATCTGATAATCAGCACACTTGGTTTCTAAGGCATCTCGTTAACCTGTTGTGGTCCCACATGTCCTTGGGGGTCACAGAGGACATTGTACTCCTGTCACTTTATGATCAAAAGCAACATGCAATACCTAGGAAAGCTGCCAGGGGGTCCAAAATCTAATCTTTTTATACATCAGCACACCTGGTTCCTAAGGCATCTTGTTGACCTGCTGTGCCCCAGATCTGGTCCCATGTCCTTGGGGTTAGGGGGAACATTGTACTTGCTTGTCACTTTGTGATCAAAAGCTACATGTAATACCAAGGTAAGCCGCCAGGGGGTCCAAAATCTTATCATTTCTTAGATATGTCCAGTCCTAAACAACATACCTACCAAGTTTCATGACAATCCATCCATAGCTTCTTGAGTTATTGTACTAAACCACATCACAGATAACAAACGCTCATAATCAAAACAATCATAATCTTCTGGCTGAAGGTAAAGTAAGAATGCTAATTTTTACTGCATAAAACTGAAATAAAGGAGCTTGAAATCCAGCTATGAACACTGTATACTACCACCAGATCTGTTTTACTTCTGTGGACGGTGTAGTATTTACAGCTATTTCTCAGGCTGTAAATATTTAGCGATCTAGTTTTAATCACACACTCAAAAATCAGCATGTAAACCTTAAGATACTTATGTCGTTAAACTTCATGTACATGTAGGCTTAGTTTACCAGCAAAATTTGCCCCTTAAAATGCAGGAAATAGCATTTAGGAGAGATGTTAAAGTTTAGCCAGGGGCACATGCCCCCTAGGCCTGACCCCTAGCTAGGATTGCCATGCTCTTCGGCACTCAACATGAGGCCACAGCAACTAAATTTTATGGATGACATCCTCCGCAGACCCCAAATCTAATGCGAGTGGGCGAAAAAAAATAAGTCGAGCCGAAAAAAACAAGGTTCCTACATTTTAAAATTTTGACTCAATCATTGTACAATGGTTTTGATTTGTCACATGTACACAGCCAACATCACATATCACTGCATGAAAGTAAGAAACAAAACATTAAATCAGAGCCTTTTCTTATCTCCTCTCTTCATAGTTATCTGCCATCCACCTTCCAGCATGGCATCTTTGCCCATTTTCGGCACGTTGACCACTGTTAGAAGGCAACAAATTCTTTTTTCCCCCCAAATCAGGCGAAAATTAATGCGCACGCTGATGTCATCCATAAAAATTACTTGCTGTGGCCTACTGTTACCCACAGCTCATAATATATTTGGCCACTATACCTTGTCACCCATTGATAAATGTGACATGAATTCTTTCACATGCGTAGCTGCACTGCATATGTTTTTTAATTACCTGATAGTAATTACAGCAATCGTAATGCTGAAGGTCATTTGTGACGTCACAGGAATTGCAGCTAATACATGATATTTGCTTATAAGCCTGCTGCTCAGCAGCCCATGGTGATTTTACTGTCGCTTCCCACGTCAAAATGGTGACCTTTGAAAATCGCTGGCCCCGATAAAACGACTGTGTATACTGTAATTCCTGATTTTTTAATGGTAAAATCTTTAAGTCTACCGGTTTGACAGTCACTTGTACCGTTATCAAATTAGTTGTTTTTTCTCCCCACTTCCTGCATTTTGCTGCTACCATGAAGATTACATGTATGTTCTGTGAACATGTCCGTTTTCCTCAAACTGAAATTTTGCTACTGTAAAGACAAAGTGAAATACAGTATCCTATTTTCAAGGTCACTACATGTACTTGAGCATGGTTTCAATTAGACTGACTGTGCAACACATGTTCATGTGGTTTTGGGGACTAACTGTGTCAGGGCTCGAAATACTGGGTGCATATGTAACTTAGTGCAGCTAAATTTGGGGCTGTGCAGGTATTTCTGATGTCTACCTGCACCTAACCTGCACTGGTCCATGTACTGGGTATATGCAGGTTAGTGCAGGTAAAATTGGAGCTGTGCAGGTATTTCTGATGTCTACCTGCACCTAACCTGCACTGGTCCATGTACTGGGTATATGCAAGGTTGTAGATGTACAGTGTACATGTATGTGGATGTAATGTTTGGATTTTTATTTGCTGCATTCACTGTCACCACCTACATGTACATGTATGCAGTTTAAATGAAATAATGGCAATGGTTTCTGAACAGTTTTTAGTACAATATTATGATCCATACTCCCTAAATTCTGAGTTGTACATTATTGTACATGTAAAATTTGTCTGGTGCAGGTAATTTTCAATGTTACCTGCTACAGTGCAGGTACTAGTTTGCAGAAAAAAAAGATTTCTAGCCCTGTGTAATAACGTGTGTGGATCTTTATTACTTGTTGCAACACTATCCAACCGAAGACCGTTTGTTTACAGTGTGGTGTGACCGTTGCTATCAGCTTGAGATCTGACCTTGAGACAACCCAGAACTGGGAGGGCTCACGTGATTCTACAACACGTGTTTTCATCAACAGGTAAGGCCTTGCTGGCGTTACTGTTAGTACAATGTACAATGTGGATAACCATGTTGAACAGATTGTTGTAAGGCCGCACCAATTTAATTTCTTGATTAACGGATTTTTCTAGAAAAATTATGGAGCGGGTGGGCGAAAAAAAAAAAAAAATAAAAACAGGCCTAGGCATCCTATGGCCCAAAATGGTACGATAGGAGCAATGAAGTCAACATACCAGGTTGGTTTAAAATTTAAACTATGAATTTTGAACTTTTAATGATACCACTGCATTGAAAGATGGAATAACTGTAACAACTAGGAAGAACAGGACTGTTTTCAACTGTTCAGGGAAAAATATGAGCATTTTGCAGTTGATTCTGATTTTTTTTTTGTCAAATCAGAAAAAAATGAAGCGGGCGAATCCGTTAACCAAGAAATTAAATTGGTGTGGCCTAAAGGCATCCCATGCAATTTCAGGGCATCAAACAAACAATATCAGGGCTCAAAAGTACTTTTTTTTTCAGGTATGTGCAAAATTGCACATTGGCAAAAATTTAAGGTCAAGTCAGGACAAGGATGATGCAAATTAGTCAAGAAGCTCGAGTTTCATGAGTGTTGTCTGTCCTTGGGGCTGGGAGCGCCAAATCCCAAGTAAATTTTGCTTCTTTGCCTGCAATACTCTAGGTGCAAAATTGCACAGTCAAATAAATCTTGAAAATCATGTGCATTTTGTACATTGCACATTTCAAGCCATGAATATTCTAGATGAAGAAATCTGTCTGATAGAGACATTATTTCATACTTTTTGACGCGTTTAAAATAACCCCAAAAACAAGCGTACTGAAGACTCCATTAAAATTTTATTTTTGGTACCACCGAACCAGCCTACGATACAAAACAAGCAACTGTTTTCTGTCAGTGACATTGCATTTTGCCTCACAGATATCAGTATGTTATGGGATAGGATTGATTTAACTTACCACATTAAAAATGACCAGAAAAATTGACTTGGAAAATCCAGTTTTACTACTGCCCTGAAATTACATGTATTTCTGGACACCTTGTGGTGCAACAATCAGTTGTTTATTTTTGTCTTAACACTCTGGAAAGAGAATTACGAGACCAAAGGTTAGGTGACTTGCATTTCACCCAGCCCTGTTCTTTTAATCAACCTTGGTTTTCTCTGTCTTAAAAGTACATGTACACACTACAGGGCTGGAAATACTACCCATGTAGGTTAGTGCAGGTAAAATTGGAGCTGTGCAGGTATTTCTGGTGTCTACCTGCACTGGTCCATGTACTGGGTATATTCAGGTTAGTGCAGGTGAAATTGGAGCTGTGCAGGTATTTCTGATGTCTACCTGCACTGGTCCATGTACTGGGTATATTCAGGCCACACCAATTTAATTTGTTGGTTCTCGGATTCGCCTCTTCGTTTTTTTCTGATTTGCAAAAAAAAAAAAATTTGATTCTGGTCCTGAGTGCTCATGTTTTGCCCCCAACTGTTGAGGAAAGTCCTATTCTTCCTAGTGTGTAAACAGTTTTCCCAAAGTTCAAAATTCAATGTTTAAATTTTAACCCAGCCTTTTGTGTTGACTTCATGGCTCATTCCATAGCATTTAAGCCTATAATAGGACCTGTTTTTATTTTTTATTCTTTCGCCCTGTCGCTTCATATTTTTTCTGAAAAAATCCGAGAACCAACAAATTAAATTGGTGTGGCCTCAGGTTAGTGCAGGTAAAATTGGAGCTGTGCAGGTATTTCTGATGTCTACCTGCACCTAACCTGCACTGGTCCATGTACTGGGTATATGCAGGTTAGTGCAGGTAAAATTGGAGCTGTGCAACTATTTCTGATGTCTACCTGCACCTAACCTGCACTGGTCTATGAGTTTTTATTTACATGTAGGTGTATGTGGGTTTTTGTTAAAGTTTGCTGCCTTCAGTGTTACCACAAATGAATTGGAGCTGTGCAGGCATTTTTAATGCATGTATCTACCTGACACTGAGCCAACCTGCTGCAGTAATGCACTGGACAGCCAGTGTGACAGCAAAAATGCCTTCCTTAATATGATTGATATTGGCAGATTAGGACATTTGAAACACACTTACCGGCTATTCGGTTTAACATCAGTCTCTCGAGGGTTAGACGTGCTTGCACACCGATGCTGAGGCTTGATGGCAGCCTGCCATTTGCCTCTATTTTGTGGGTTCACAATGTGTAAACCTAGAAAATGTCCTCCACTTGTCAGAGTTAAAGGCAAAGAGAATGATTGGTGCATTTAAATTAAAGGCATCCAAAGCAATTTCAGGTTAGCATAACTGGAAATATTCTAAATACATGTAAGTCAATCTGTATGAAATTGGCTGCTTCACATTAGCACATTTGAGTCAGTATTTCATACTTTAGGCATTTAAAACTGCAGAAATAAGCCCCAAGATGAGTCCTTTATTTTCTGGGTGGTACCATAAAAATCAGTCCAATGCCCTTCCGATAAATCAGAATTTTGGGAATTTTTGGGGGTCAATATACATTGTGATAGTGTGGTTTCAACTTAGTTTGTAGATAAATGACTAGAAATAGTAGAATATTGGCTTTGAAAAATCAGGTTTCCAAGCCCTTAAGAACTGCATTGGATGCCTCTAAAACATGTCTGGTACAGTTACATTGTAGATGGTTTGGTTAAAAGTACATGTATTTCAAGCCCTGTTCTACAACCGTCAATCTTTTAACCTGAATGTTAGACTGTTGAAAATATTTTGAGCCCTGCTCTGCAACTGTTTATCTTCTACTGAACTTGAAAGATAAACAGATGTCTCCTAGTCTTTGCCAAGATGTCTGTTGAACTGATATACAATGACTATTTTTAACTGTTACCGCAAAGGTCACAGTGACTTGAATGAATCGCCAACTTAAATTCCAGTGACAGTTAATTATGATTGATAGGAATTCAAGTCAATATGAGCTTTGTAGTACTGGTTAAAAAATAGTCAGTCCAACAGATGTCTTGGCAAAGTTACATGTTATACAATACTGGAGTCCCTTTCTTGAGTCATCTGCTTTGAAAGATTTTGGCAGAAACTCCCTGTAGTTCCAGAGCAAGCTGCTAGGGGGATCAAAACCACACCACTTGAAAAGCAATCAGCCACCGAAAAATCACTACCATAGCATGTCCAGGTCAAAAGATGCAAAAACTGGAGGTTCTGCTGCAGTGCCAAGGTCAGCCACCAGGAGGCCCAAATTTGATCTTGACCTTTGTCTTTCTAAGACCTCCCTACATACCAAATACCATCACAATCCATAATTAAGTTATTCTGACTACAAATATGCAGAAACACAGACAGACAGACAGACACACACACACACACACACACACACACACACACACAGACCAAAAACAATACTTCCATTTTTTATGAACAAGGTTAACAATGACAAGAAAAATTGACTTTGAAAATTCTGTATTTGCTGCCCTGAAATCATATTGGGTGCCTTTTAATGTCTCTTCCTGTAAGTACTAAAGTCAGCACGTCATGAAATATTAGCAGCACAGTAGCCATTCTTAGTGTGTGGCAGACCAGACACACTATCCTCCACAGTTGTTGCTACTTTCACTCCCAGTACAATGGAGGTTGAAACACGAGAAGGTCACTGACATCTAAAGAAGAACCATTGTTCAGAACGTCAACCTCTTTGACCTGATTAAGTCTTATGAAACTGTTGAGCTTAATGACTCATTATGATTTAATACGTAACTACAAAATGGCAGTCGCCTTACAGAACTTAACCTCTTGCGTGCATTGTTGTTGCCTTGGGTAATTAAAAATGCGTGTGCCCGGGGGCATGAGTGCATTGTTTGGCCGGTGCGGTTGGATAGTTACCTTGGCTGAATGCCCACATGCCCAACCTGTGACCTTGAGCCCCAGAAATGGGTCATACCAACTGGGACAATCACCGGGGGTGGTTCAAAACAAGTACAATTTCTCTGTGTTTCAAATTTTGCAAATTTTTCCCTCTTTTCAGTAAATCTCTTTAATTTTCACTACTGTAAGCAGTAACACAATTTACGATGTTGGATTAAAGAAGGGAATAAGTTACTGTCAACCTCCCCGAAGTCCTTGAGACGTTGGGCCGTTCCAGGCGGTTTGCAACCCAAACAGGGCAGTTTGGTCAGGCTCACGGATAGCTTAGCAGGTCCTGATCGAGACAATGCTCTTCCCAGGTGGTTATACCTTTACCGGACATACTACACGGATCTTTGCCGCCTCTCTGAACACATTGACAGGTAAGGAACCGCTTTGGGGGTTCGTTTTTTGCAACCTTTGCTCAGAAGATAGGGTTGTTTGTACAACAGATGTCTGTGAAAGGTAGAAAGACGACATGAGGAAGGCAACGTTATATACGGCGGCAGTTCTGGTCATGTAGCCTCGACACAACAACGTTAACCTCTGTACCACCCTACCGCATGTGTGTGTGTAGGTTGGACTTCGGTCAATCAAACATTATCGCTGTAAAAGTACATGATTGTATACCTCTGGCGGTTTTGATATATGTACTTAGTGACGGAGGTACATGGGACATAGCAGTGTCATTAGCAGACAGATGTCTGAGTGATTTACGAAGTCGTAATACCAGCTAGCCTGTGGGGATGGGAGGGGGGTGCAAGGTCATGTGTATTGTGTGGGGATTTTTGACATGATAACAACCTATGATTTACCTCTTTTGCTAAACATTACGGTAACAGGTAACATGGACCTGATCCCACTAAAAGAAATACTGCCAGGTATTATGAATGGTACCGATTAATTTTGACTGTATGGTTCAGGCCATCAGTAAAATTGGAGCAGTGCAGGTATTTCTGATGTCTACCTGCACCTAACCTGCACTGGTCCATGTACTGGGTATACATGTATACATGTATACATGTAGGTGTATGTGGATTTTCATTGACTGTCACTACTTATAAAGCATAAATACTTTATGTAAAAGAAATAATGGCAAGAGTATATGATCCATACTAA